AATGTGTGTAAGACTCCACCCACAAAAATCCCCCACCCGGCTTCCTGGTAAGGAATTTCGGGGATTGAAAGCCCACCCAGCTAAAATTTGCCAAGGTTGAGAAACACTGGCCTGGAGATTCATGGTCTTTTGAATTTACAGCTCTGGGAAGTGGTCTATTGCTTCCTTCGCCTCTTAGAATCGCTAGAACCAACTGTTATACCAACAGCATCCACCCCAAGCTAAGTGGACTTCAACTCCCAGAATTCCCTAACCAGCATGCTGGCTGGGGAATTCTGGGAGTTGAAGTCCACACATTTTAAAGTGGCCAAGTCTGAAAAGCAGCTCTACATGGACCATGTCTTGAGTCTACACCCTGTATTTCGTGGCTGGCTTTAAATATCCATTTTATATTTCGAACCTCTTCCTTTTTCCCTCTTCCTTGTTACTGGTAACAGCGAGTGGGAGCAAGATTCTGGATTACTAAAATGCCTTGCCTTGCACTACCCCCTTTTCTTCTAATTTGACTGTCCCAAAGGTATCACCCAGCGAAGAGCTGCCCAGAATGGCTGGGAGTCGGGCAGCATATAAATTTAATAAATGATGGTGGCTGTTGTTATTATTCATGGCTTTGTGAGTACCGCAGTGAGTTTAACTTTAGAGCAATCTTTGGCTTGCTAGGTTCAGAGTGTCAAAAGAAAAAGGGAAGGCATGTTAGTATTCATTTGTTTTGTTCTTTTTTCTCTGAAGCAACCAAACCAATGTACACAGAACAAACCAGTGTGCGGAGGGGCCCCGGGAATTTATTTGATTTCCCTTTTGGGTGGAGCGAGGGGATGGTTTGCTACTCCAGGATTGCAATAGTTCAGGGGAAAAGACACTGACTGGATGATACTTTCTACATTTTTTGATCGGTCACCTGGAAGGTGAGCACTGATCAGCTCTGGGTGTTTCCTGCATGTCCTCAACATTTCAGGATAATCATAAGTTGGCTTCAAAGTACTTTGTAGGCACTGAGAAGCAGAAGTGATGGCATTGTGGACGTGCCCTAATTTAAATCAACTGATTTAATCTGACCCCCATCTGATATTTGCTCATAATTTACCTTTTCTTTGTCATTTCAGGTTGTCACTACAGGAAACCCCATTCTAGATTATGAAACTATGCCCCACGCATTTGAACTGCAGATCCTTGTTGCTGATACCGCTGGAGCAATTGATCTACAGATTCTGACAGTCCAAGTGCTTGATGTAAATGAACCTCCGGTGTTTCAAGGCAACTTGGCAACTCAAAGTAAGATGCCGGCTTGGTTTAAAACAAGAGTTTGCCATCCTGCTGACGGCTGATTTCCATTCTTTAAAAATAGATTATGCATGAAGAAGCACTTAAAAAAAAATTGACTATGGTAGTATGTAAGAATAAACAATGGTATTGTGCAACTTGCACACTTCCTGCTTAGAAGAAAGCAAGCTTGTGTTTGCCTGTGCAGAAATATGACAGTTACCATCCTCTGAAGTTGGGCAACACAATGCTTTTTTGTGCTGTTAGCTGCTAGGCCCATATTCATGGTTATAAAATTCATTTTATTTTATTTACAGTATTTATGTACAATAATAACATCACTCTTAAAAACCAAGCGTGGAACAGAAATAAAGGAATATCAATTAATTAGAATATGGAAAAATACAAAACAGATACATTAAAACCTTGACAACTCTAACTCTAAGGGAGTGGTGATATACCAAACAGGTAACCCCTTGAGAATAAAAAGAATAAACTAGATGGTATAAAGCCTATAGACTATTAAGTTAAATTAAACAATATACAATGTAAAAGCCAGGGAGGCCAGCCCAGAAGCCAGTCCTGTAATCACAGGAGTAGCCCTGTTCCTCTGAATCAAACAAAAACAGCCTAGACTAAAAAAAAATTAAAATTACATCTGAAGAGTAAAGGAAAGCCAATTCCAAAGATATGGGACTTGATCCTGAAAGGCCCTCAATCTTGAACTTGCTATCAGAGTAGTGGGAACAGCCAAAAGGATGCAAGAGGCTAAATGAGTAGATTCTGTGGGGATCTATGGTATCTACTCAACAGTGAAGATAGGTGAGGAGATCAATAGACAAATAAGACTGTCTGAAAAAACTTCACTGAAAGTTTAAAATAACAACGCAAAAACATTGAGATACAACAATGGACATCTGAAATAGCACCACTATGCATTAATTTATTTGTCTTATTTTTATCTCAGTTCTCAAATAGTTAGAGACCTCAAAAGGAGGTTTTTCTCTTGAGATGAACTCAGCACCAGCTGCTCACATTGATATGTCCATGTTGTTCTCTCGGCAAAAATACTGAAATTACTTTGCCATGCCTTCTTCTGGAAAGTTTTTTCAACGTCCCATTCTAGTATGCTACTTGACAATGTTTCGGTGGCTTTCCATCCATGGATTAAGCAAGTCCGACCCTGCTTAGCTGTTTTGAGATCAGCCACGGTTGGCTGGGATGAAAGCAGTGAATATCCATTAAAGAAGAGAGAATCCCTGCCTTTGGGCTCACAAACTCCAAAACCAATGTGCATAATGGAGGGGAAAAAGAAGAGGGGAGAGCTCCTTCCAGGCAAAAGGAAGAAGTAAATCACAAGCTGTCCCTTTTGCTCCTATAGGATATTTTAAATCCTTTTAAATTAATGTATACTACTTTTATCTGTATAGCTGTTGTAGTCTACATCTTGGAAAACACATCAGCAGGACCTATTTATCAAATTCATGCAGGGGATCCTGAAAAGACACCCTCCAGAGAAATTAAGGTGAGTAGAATTCAACTCACGTTAAAATCCGTGAAAACCATTCTCCGCTGAATTCAGTCCTCAGAAGTATTCCTTTAACAAAAGGCTTATGTGTATTATATTACGCTTGCGACAACAAAGCCTTTGAAACCAATTTGTCAAGGTGATGTGAAATCAAAGAACTGGGACAATGGAATGTTTACCCTCCAGCTTTATTTGTTTATTAGATTTTTATCTTACCTTTATTTTTGGTCAACTCAAGGCAGTGAACATACTTAATAATCCTGCCTCCTGTTTTCCCACAACAACCACCCTTGAGGTGGGTTGGGTGGAGAGAGAGTTACTGGCCCCAAATCACCCAGACGCCCTCTTAGAATGAATCAGGGCAACGTAGAGGTAAAACAGTAAAAACTAATAACAACCATAAACTAAGAAAACTCATGCCAAAAAATTCTGCCAAGAATCCAGAGACACACAATCACAACAGGCAGGAATGCAAATCCTCCTGGCCCAGTGCTTGGGGGAAAAGCCAGGTCCTTAAGGTGTTACAAAAAGCAGGGAGGTCAGTTATTCGTTCTAATTTTCCAAAAATATAATATTGTATATTTACCAAACATCTTGTTCCTGATCTATCTGCTGATCTATGAGATACCATACTCTGTCTAAATAGAGAGAATCTTATTAATATAAGAAGAGACCATCACGATCAGAGCAAATCTGTGACAAACCAGCCAGAGGAGATATAGACCTGATTTTCAGATTGTATTTTCTCACGGTTTCCTTAGCTATGGTCTACTAAAAATCAGTATTGCTACATTTGTAAGTAGGGCCAAAAGAAATCACATTATGACTGAATACTGAGGGCTCCAAACTTTTAGAGCCAGTGGGGCCCATTTGGAGTCTTGAGGGCACTTTATGGGCACCCTAAAAGATGGCAGTTATGGTGAACATCACTAGTCCCATCAACACTTTTACTAAATGCCAAACTAATGAACTTGCTCCTACTCTAACTTCCCAAGATGCTCTACCATCTCAGTTTATCTCTCTCTTGTTTGTGCACACTGTCAACAGTCCACATCAAATAAAGTCATTCTGATTTTCTGAGAAAGCCTTTGGGAGACATGGATCCTGAGAACCATTCTTGAAATAAAGGTTATACATGAAGTTGGCACTGTCCTCTACAGCAGGGTTCCTCAACCTCAGCAACTTTAAGATGGGTGGACTTCAACTTCCAGAATTCCCCAGCCAGCCATCAACTTCCAGAATCCCCCAGCCAGGAATTCTGGGAGTTGACGTCCACACATCTTCAAGTTGCTAAGGTTGAGGAACCCTGCTCTACAGCATGCTAACTTCCCATTTATTATTATGATTGGTTGCACAGTCAGTCAGATGTTTAGACTGGATTTGGCATTTTTATCCACCCATCGAGTCCTTCCCAAGGACCTGGGATAGACAGACTCTACAGCATGCTAACTTCCCATTTATTATTATGATTGGTTGCACAGTCAGTCAGATGTTTAGACTGGATTTGGCATTTTTATCCACCCATCGAGTCCTTCCCAAGGACCTGGGATAGACAGATGTTGTTCTTCGATGGTGTAAAAGGTATCGTCGCAGGATATAAGCTGTTCCAAGTAAAGCTGCCTTTTGCAATTGACTGATAGTGATTTTGTCAATGCTGATGGTATTCAAGTGGTGCTCCAGATGTTTTGGGATTGCACCTAAGCCGCCTATTACTCTTGGGACTACCTTTGCTTTCTTTTGCCACAGTCGCTCTACTTCTATTTGCAGGTCTTTCTATTTTGTGATTTTTTCTCCAGTTCTTTCTCTTCTATCCTGCTGTCTCCAGGTATTGCAATGTCCACTATCCAGACTTTCTTGTCTTTCTTATCAATGATTGTTAAGTCTGGGGTGTTGTGTGGCAGGTGCTTGTCTGTTTGAATTATTATCATTGTTGTTAGTATTTAATAAAAAGAGTCATCTTTAAAAAATCAGGTGTCCTTGGCATCTTCAGAACAACTCCTCCAAGCAGTAGAAAGGCTCATCTTCAGATGTGGTTCTTCAATGTGCAATGTTTCTTCAGCCATGTCATTTTATGCAGAAGAAGAGACCTGGCCTGTGAGGCTATGGTGATGTCACCGGGACAGTCATGGCCAACGTTTAGGATTTATTTTTGGATCGGGAGCCAAGGCATCCAGAGGAGCTTTTAGGAAATTTTAAGGCAACCAAACACCCATTTTACCATTCTTTTTTTTTTTAAAGAAAAAATCAGCCTACTGCTTGTCTTTGTGTATGTACAACAAAATACTCGTTTTATCCCTGTCTTTGAACAAAGGGGGAAACTGGCATTCTTTTTCCACCAAGTGTTGGTAATACAATCTGGGAAGGCTCTAGAGGCCATAATACGCTGAAAAGTAACTTGAGAATTAACTACAGGTAGATTTCCAACTGAAGCAGGAACACTGACTGTGCTGTCTTTTTGTATTTTTATTAAATATATTATGTCACAAATGGTCCCATTACGTCTGATTATTTCTTCCAGTTTTCCCTGAGTCCAGCTTCCCCATTCTTTGCAGTTTCTCCAGCTGGAACCATTTCTGCTTTGAAGTCATTTGATTTTGAAAAAGATCCACCCAGGTAAGATCATATTAATGATCAGGAAATGATGGTTGGATATTTTAAGCAAGGTTTAGCTAATAGAGCAATCCTGTATCTCAGCCACAAAAGGATTCTTGTGTTTTATTTCGTTTTGACAGCTATACATTAAATGTTACCATAACAGACCACCTTGGTGTTAGTGTTGTTAGGACTCTGATGGTCAATATCATAAACACTAATGATGAAGCTCCTTACTTCACCATGTAAGTAGAAAATCCCAGTTGCATCAGAACTTTTCTATTTAGGCTTTATAATTGAGCATAGAGGTCTGGGAGGTGCTTTCAGATCAGACTGAAAAAAAATTAATCAGCTATAAATTGCTCCATTTTATGTCATGAAGAAAAGCTGGAGGTACTTGCTTACCTTTGCATCTAGGGACATCTGTGAGGGGGTCAAAAAAGTTGGATGGTGGCTACAACTGCACAACATGCTCTTTGATAATGTGAGTAAAAAGGTCTGGAGCTTCAATCTTGTAGTGGCAGCTGTCATCTTGACTTTCCTGCTTGCATTCATGCGCCATTTTAGAGGAGCCTATCTGCTACTACTCATTAAGAGAAAGAGAAGGAGGAGGAGGAGGAGGAGGAGGAGGAGGAGGAGGAGGAGACAATTTTTTTGAAGCAGGCATATGTTCTAAATTCCAATACTGGATATATTAAATATAACTAATTTTTATTTTTATATTGTAATCCTTGGTACCAGTTATATTTTAAGTAATATAAGAGACAGCTGATCAGACATATCCAATTGTACTGTCTTATTTCTACTGTAGAAAAAATAATGTTTTTAGGATTTGTGAAGAAGCACAACCAGGAACATTTGTTGCCAATGTAACAGCGACGGACCCAGATGGTGAAGATTTTATTCATAGCCTTCGCTACAGCCTGGGTGTTCCTGAAGGGATCCCTAATTTCTACATCAATCCAAGTAAGGAATTCATCTGATTGAATAGAATCCAAAGAAGTGCTATAGGGCTAGGAAAGCTGCAGAGTGTGGAAAACCAACCCCACAAAATGGAAGGAGTGCAATATGCTTCATGTGAAGAAGAGAAGATGGAGATAGAGATAGTGGTGATGCTGGGTGCAGATGGAACTCTGTTCCCTGCTACTGCAGAAGTTAAGCCCAAATGAAAAAGTTTGATTACAGTTGAAGAAGCCTACCCTATATAGGCTGCAAATTTCTGACTGACCATTTGAAGGTAACAAAGAGACACAGAACCTACTAATCAGGTCATCCTGATTTTTGCAGCCCAACTATTGTAGGGAACTTCCATTGGAAGAACCTTCTTAACTTTGAGAGGACTGGCAGTGAAGCCAGAAGGTCTGGCAGTGATCCAGGAAGGGGGAGTTTGCTCTCATTTGAGCTTTCCAAGAAGAAGCTGGCCAGTTATCTCTTGGGTGTGCTTTAAGTGTTAGGTTTGCTACTTCAAGCAAGCGTTCTGCTCGATGGCTTTCAAAGCCTTCTTGCTCTGTGATTCTGTTTGCCTTGCTGGGTCTTCCCCTCAGCTCGGCCTGATTTGGATGTTTTATTGCTATAACAAGGAGCTGCAGTCAGTCTGGCCTCCCTTCTCTTTCAGGGTGTAGAAGAGTTGAATGTTCTCAAATCCATTTTTATATAATTGTTATGAAAGATTTTGTAAAAAGGAAGATAAAAACTAATACAAATGAATATAGAATCACAAAAATAGAAGAAAAAGAAAGAAAGAGAAAGCTAAAACTGCAAGAAAGGGAAAAAAAAGAAAAGAAAAATAGAAAAGAAAAAGATACAAAGAAGTAGCTTCCAATCTTCTTTACAGCATTTATAAGTACAGTTATAAATGTACCTCTTACTCTATGGTTACATCATAACTCTCCTCTTTCTATTATCTATCCTGTCTAATCATCAAAACCATAAATCATAAATTCATTTTTTTCTGTTTCACGCAAAAAGTCTAAAACATTCTCAAATCCATTTTGATGAACCAAACTATGACAACTATAACTATGGTTTGTTGAAAAAGCTAGTTTCCAAGCAAAGCTCAGGAGGGTGGCTTGTTTCAACAAATCATAGTTTAGCTTAGCCACAGTTTGGAGTTCAGACATAACCCTAGACTGTTATGCATGGAAGGAAAACCCTTCAGGTTCTTCTCTGCAGTCAGGCTAGTAGAAGAGACAAGAGTGGGGGCAATTATAAGTGACCCCAAGTGTTATTGTATCACATTCTCCTAATAACAAATAATGGTTTGTTGTGACATTCAAACAGAGCCATAACATTCAGCCAAAAACAGATTCAGTTTTCAGGAAATGAGGATGTGGGGGGCGGGTGAGAAGATATTTCTGGAAGGGGATAAGATTCATGCCAAAGTTCAAAGTCCTGTCAAGTTTAAATAATGAAGAGTATTACTTGCAGTGTCATTTTTCATAATTTATTAGAACATCTATCCAATAATCAAATGGGAGCTGTATTAAATGGCTGAATAAAATCAGCTTTTGATGCATACTTATTACAGCTATAGACACATTATTTATAATACTCATGGTTCCTATCCTTATTGCCAGAAATGCATTATGGCATCTAACATTTTGAATAGGATGTAATATGGAGTTGTTCAAATGATACGGAATTCCTGTGAAGTTTCATAAAGTTTAATGAGTACAAATAAGCATTGGATAAGCACTGATAAGTCAGTCAATTTACGTGTGCAGCAGGATAGCTAATTCTAACTCCCCTGCTAATTCTGACAGCTTTTCTCAAAGAATCCTGGGAATTATAAAAATTAATATTTCTGGGAGCCAATGATCAAGTTTTTGCTGATTTTTTTCATTAAAGGACTTCATTTTTCTCTTCCATTTCAATAGTCCCTAACATGCTTTTAATGAAGGTTCATGGCCCTTGGTGGAAATTATGATCTTCACTTTGCTGCTTTCCTTCCCACTTTTTAGCAACAATATAAACAGGGACAACCAGAGGGGTCAAAAAACTCAAGAGGGTAGCCGCAGCCATGGGATCGAAGGGCCTCTTCCTTTGCATCAGAGATGAAAAAGGAACACGGCTTTGATCATAAGGTTGCAGACGCCATTTTGACTTTTTTGATCTCTTCCCTCTGAGCACCCTCGTTAGCAACAATCTAAATCTCATACTGCAAAGGGGGACATGCTGCATTGTTATGAATGTGTACATCCAAGGTGAGTAAAATGTGGAACAACCTCGCTAAGCAAATGTCAATTGTTTCGGTCAAAATCCAAGGTTATACCTGTGCTTGCCCCTGGAAATGTTTACGGCTTCCTGTATTTCTGTTTCAGTAACTGGTATGGTTCTGGTAGCTGGACGGATAGATCGTGATGCTTCTCCAATCAAAACCCACCCCAATATTTCTTTGACAATTCATGTTGAGGATAGCCTTACTCATGAAGGAACTGTGGAAACCGAAATTTTCGTAATGATTGACGATATCAACGACAATCCACCAAATTGCAAGCAATACAATCACTGGTAATAATATTTTGTACTCTCTGCATTCCTTAAACTTCAGGTAATTTTATTAGAGCTAATGATAAGCAGTTCGACCCTTTTAGCATAGCGCTCAGTGTATCGAACTGCGTATCGGGTAGTAACATTACCACCCGCTAAAGTAATTTAAAGGAGGCCATTCTTTCATATTAATTATGATGATCTATCCCGTTATTTCTGGTGGCGCAGTTGAGGGGTTCTGTGCAATGCAGATAAGTGAGGGCTCTCGGTTGCCCCACCTGCTTTATTGAAGGATGAGGAGATGATGTTTGATATTTTATGTCAATATTTTAACACTCTTTTAAACCTTTATGGTGCATTTCCCCTCCAGAAGGTGGAGGGCTGTCTGCAGGGTATGGTGAACAAAGTCAACATGGAGGCCGTGACAGTGCAATTGAAGCTCCGCCTGGTTTTTAATTTGCGATGCAGGTGTGTGGAAGTCTATGACATCACAGAAAGCTTAGCCAAATTCTAGAGTGGGCTGGCAGATTGACAACAGATGAAAGTCAAATCAGATTTTATGGACTTCCAGTTAAGATGGCCACGTGAGAAGCTGAGCCTCCCGACAGCTCCTCTGGAAAATACTTAATTTTTTTATATGCTTCTGGCCAATTTCAAGTCAAAAGAAGTGATTAAAGGCTATTTTAGTAAGAAGAAAGCAAAGGCAGTTGTCCTAACTCTGACCTTAGAAGATAATGTCATTACTACAACAAATATTAAGGTACTAGTGGGAAATACCGATTATAGTCTATAAAGCTTTCAGGAATTATTAATGGTTGTTTTGCATATACATACTAAAATGAAGAGATGGAGTTACAAGTTATTATATATAATGGTTCTCACTCGTAGAGGCTATGCACAACTTGGTTGGCAACCTCTAACACTGGAAGTTAGGCTAAGTAACTTACAACTGAAACAATTAAAAATTACTGATTATTTCTCAAGAGACTGCAAAAAGTCAAAGTTTGACCAAGGATACTGAAGTCGCAATAACATCTCATGACTGGTCCTTAAGTCCTCGTCCCTTCTTCCAGCAAAAAATTAGTGAAACTGGTGTAAATCTTGCTGAAAAGCTTGCTATTGCTGACAGTCGAGACCATGTGAACTCCGCCTTAGACTCACCCCAAGAAATGACAACATCTACAGTTTGGACAAAGGACAATACTATGAGAATAAATAAAAGGAATTTATCTTTTGACAATGCATGGTCGCCAACTAGACTTAGAATGATGCCTTTACGGCAGACAACCTCTTACCCAATGTTGGATACTTTGAAGCAATTGCAGGAATCAATTGATAAATTAAGTATGAAATGGGAT